ATAGTTTCAAACGGACTATTCGCTTTTATAACTATTATTAATAACTAGTAGTAATTTAAAAAAATCATAACTCTAGTGCAAACGATGTTTTCATTACCCCCTTGAAGCTAGCTATCTTACAGACATTGGAGTTCCTTTCAAAAGCTTAAGCACAGGGTGAAACAGGAATTACCAGCCAATAATACATAAACAATAAATATTATAGTTGGAACCTCATTGTATTTAGAACTTGGTTATAAATACAACCTTCCTATGTCAATTGAAACACTGCATTAAAAAACAATTAAAGAAAAACGTTTTCAAAAAAAGGAACTAAATGTAGGAATGGCATTTGCATCATCCTTACATAATAGCACGGACAAGAATTAATATATAGCAATATATATAACTATTCAATCACAGTTGAGTTTAATTTAAAGATGAGATGAGCCATAACTTACTTTCAAAAAATATGAACACTAGTTTGTTTCATGCACTGTTACAGATTTTAAGTTCCTTGAAGATATTGTCATTAATATACTCAAATCTAGTGTCCCTATAGCGCAGTGGATAGTGCGTTGGATTTCTAATCCAAAGGTACCGGATTCGTTCCCTGGCATTGCCTAGTCCCAAGTCCAGGATGAGAAACTCCGCCCCGTAAAAACCAACCTGCTAAAAAATTACTGCAACAACAACTTCCGTCGGCGAGGTGTTGTTGGGGCCCTATGATCTACAAGGATTATTATTATTATACTCAAATCTAAGACCACGACAAGACTTACAGGGTAGACTCGGCATTCTGCCTTACTGTATAAAAATGCCTGAAATATAACTTGTATAACGAGGAACTGGATTTTACTGCGCACGTTAGTAATTTTACTAATTTTAAAGCATAATCTAGATCCTTTTCACGAGCTACGAAAATTTTCTATGATAAATTGCAAGATTATGTTGCTCATCCTGTTGACTGTATACTTAACCTGTTAAGCATGCAATATTTTTAACTTTTAACCAGGAATCGTAACGAAAAGGTGACAAAGCTAGAAGCCTGGTCAACTTCTTTAAAGCATAGTGGTCATTTTATTAAACACATGTGGCTGCAACTGCAGCATATGATCGAGAGCCTCTGTGTAATTCAGTAAAATATTCTTTAAACTACAGAAATAATAGTTATTATTTTACTGATATCACCCAATAGAAGCAGTAGTTACCTTGATATTGATTACTTTCTGAATTTTTTGGAGATTGATTTATTTTTTGTAAATTTTAAGTTGGTTTTTGTTGAGCACGAAACTATACAACGGACAATCTGTGCTCTGCCCACCATTGGTATCGAAACTCGGCTTTTAACGTTGTAAGCCTACAGACTTGCCGTTGAGCCACTGGAGGGCAAATTTAAGTTTCTAATATGTTGCCTTCAACATTAAATAAGAAATATAACAACTGCGTAAATGGAAGCTAACGATTGAAAAACAAAAAACATGGAATAGAATATTTAAAATAAGAACAATATTTCTAAGAAAAACTGCTCCAAGTCCATTGGTTACTGTATATAATAGCTTGTAAAAAGGTTTTAAAACAAGTTAATATGAAGTTTGTTAACGATATTCAGTGTAGGTCACATAATCAAAGTGTAGTCAGTCAGATATTTTCCTGAAGAAGTATAAAGGATGTTTGATCGGGATTCTAACCCGCAACTACAACAAATGCTTTAGCTGATTAATGGCGTTTCTTTGTGTTCACTCTGTTGGTTATTTTAAAGGCTGAATTTAGTATGATTCATGGAAAAATTATATGTTTACTGATAATTTATTATTAGAACTGCTAATTCTAGGTGTCTTAGGTATAGAAATATCGAGGGTAGCATACCGTCTTGTAAAATTAGTAATAATTCAGAAGAATCAAGAACTATTTTTGATCTCGGAGAACTTCTCTAATTCTTAACGTCTCGAGTGTATACTTACTTGACGCATGCTCATTGTGTAATGTCCTTCTTTACTCAGGTGGCACTTACCGTCGTTCGGTTTTACAATGCCAGCAAGCTGAAGGTAATAACACAAAACTTAAATTAAAATTATTGTTTTATTATTTTTAATTTGACGAAACAAAGTATCATTATTAGCTCCACAATCAACCAATATAATGTTAAAGTAAACAATAAAAAATTAAATAAGGTGTTTTATCGAGAATCAGTCGCACTTCATTTAATTACATCAAGTTGAACAAATATAATATTACACTGCCATTACTTTTGAACTCGTACAATGTAATGGATAATGCACATCTCATTAACTCATATCATAATACTTTATTAAGGAATAATATATTCTCATTATAACTTAAAAAGGTTTATGTACTTAACGGTTTTACATTATATATAACTTATTAGATTGAAATTTAAACCTTGTAATTGAACAATATATCTACTAAACATTTACCGCTACATAACGCTGATATATATTTACCCTAAATGAAGAAATAAACAGCATGCCATGATCGTATTGGTATATTTGCCTTGTCTTTCGATCATGGATCACATGAATGGTTTACTCTAGTGGTTCCCAACAGGAGGCCTGCCAACCACATCAGGCCCTCCAAAAGCCTTAATTGTGATTTGCACTCACTATGATTAGATATTGCAAAAGTTAACAAAACTATATTTGGGGAATATCGTATTCCCCAATAAATTCAGGCCCGACCCTTGGTTTTGTGGTCGTCATCAGAAGTGACCCAATGTGGAAAATAATTAGAGACCTTTGGTTTAATATTTGTTATTGTTAGAAGAATAGGTAAATGTGTCACAGACCGATATCATTTGAGTCAAACTGCATAACACAGATTTAATTAAACAGACAACAAAATCAGCAACTATAAGTATATGTTAAATATGGAAACTGGACACATTCAAACATTACATCCTTCTTCATATGTTTAAACTAAGCTCTTACCAGGACATGCTGCTTAAACCAATATAGTTCAGTATACCTTTCCATCCCCGGCAGAATGGGATTTTGAAGCAGTAGCAAACAAAATTATTTTTCTGGATATTTTCTTCCACCCTATGGATTTCTGAAAAATGAAAGAACTTTGATTTAATCTGTTTCATAATAGTAAAATGTAGTTGAACATTCTGTACAAATACTCTTTTTTTTTTCAAATAAAACTTTAAGAATATTTTTACTAAGCTTGTAGTGAAGTAATTTCATGTCTGAGCTGGGGGTTATTTTAAAGATATGGTCACTTTATCGGCAGTATAGATAGAATTTTTGGATTAACGCCAGTAGTGCTGAACTAAGTCGCCGGAGGCCAGTTTAACTTATCTCCCATTATGATAGGTTTGTTTATTTCGTAAGCGCAAAGTTACAGAAACAGGCTATCTGCACACCGTCCACCACGGGGAATCGAACCTCGAATTTTAGCATTCTAAGTCTTCAAACTTACCGCTGCCCCACTGGAAGTTGTAGAATAGTGAAACAAAGGTGAATAAGTGAAATTCAACAAACATGAATATCATCTCGACAACAAAGAATCGCAATGACATCAAGTATGAATATTTCAATACCACCGGATATAAGTAAGCTAACCCCTTTGACAGATGACATGAGTGAGAGCAAATAATTTAATTAATAAAGCGTCTATATCTTTCACTATTTTCAACAACATCACCGGTGGGACAGCGGTAAGTTTACGAACTTGTAACGCTAAAATCTGGGGTTCGATTCTCCGCAATGGACACAGCAAATAGTCCAATGTGACTTTGCTCTGAAAATAACCAATGTATTAGAACAGCTCGGCTAAGCACACGATTAGAATGTTATCGAAAAAGACGAAACTGGCACAGTATTATCTTGAACGTTTTAAATCTATTTATTGCTCTTTCTAAATTTATTCTTACTCTGGCGATCTTTCTGGTCGCTGTAAAACATTCTCTTCATTATGCTAAGGTTCACCTTTGGTGAAAGCTAGAATATAAAATTTAATTTTTCTATAAAAAAAAGTAAATTACGGATAGGAAAACCTCTATCAGCCATTACTTCATCCGTAGGAATAAGTTAAAATTATACTGTTTTCCATATTATCACTTGCTCGTCCTAGAAGTGATATTGCAACAAAATTGTGAGATGTAATTACTAGAACTATCGTATCTGTTTTTTAAGTTTGTGGGTCTTTGACAGGTGTTTCTGCACAGTTAATATTATAGACTATTTGTGGGTCTTTGAATAAGTGTTTCTGCACAGTTAATATTATAGATTATGTGTGGATAATTTTCACGAAAAGTTTTTTGAACAATACCCTTGGAGTATTTCTCTGGGAAGCCAGATAATTAAATCTTATAAATTGTTTAAAATAACCGAAATCCACCCGTTCAATAATTCATGTTAGACTATTTGAAATCCCAAATCTGTGGCAAAGTTATTGAATTTTAGATGTTGTTTAAGTCCTATTAAAACAAGCATTATTTGATCAACTTTATCCATTTGGAAGTTAGAAGCGTTTGTCTGATTCAAGATTAAAGAAAAGACTTGCTTTGTCACACCTGTGTACAGGAATCGTCCGCGTAAAACACCGTTTTTCTTGACAGATATGGTTCCTTCTTCTAACTTCCACTAGGCTCCTTTTTCTTCTTTTAATGTCTGTAAAGTTTGAGTAATGGTCATTTTCTAAAAAGTAAGATTTCTGCCACCGTGTACGTTTAGTAAATTTCTCCTTCATACGTTTTTCGCTTTTCACTCTTACATTACTGTTGGGGTCAACTTCAGACAAACCAGATGTATTTTCAGCATCAAGTTAATATCAGCATCAGTCTCATTTCGTGATTCAGCGGGTTATACGAGCTTTTTATTTTCTTTACGAGCTGTGTTTTTTACTCTGATATTTTCTCTGTCACCCAAAAATGTTCTGCACAAACCCAAACCGGTATTGGTAAGTTTTTCTATTGATAACTTCGATCCATTTTAGCTTAGTAGGTCCGCCTAACGTAATCTGTAAGGTACTAAACACGGAAAATTCACGGAAAAGTCAAACTGCGTCCTTCACATCTGGATCTATCCTAAATACTAAATTTATGACGGTTATTTGAACAGCCATTTACAGCAAATTAGCTTCTGCCACCTTCTTTGTATTTCATTTCGCTTTGGCTAGGTGTTTAGGGCGTTCGACTCGCAATCTGTGTGTCGCGGGTTCGAATCCCATCCCAGCAAACATGCTTGCCCTTTCAGCCGTGGAGACATTATAGGTGTTTAGGGCGTTCGACTCGCAATCTTTGTGTCGCGGGTTCGAATCCCCATCCCAGCTACATGCTTGCCCTTTCAGCCGTGGATACATTATAGGTGTTTAGGGCGTTCGACTCGCAATCTGTGTGTCGCGGGTTCGAATCCCCATCCCATCAAACATGCTTGCCCTTTCAGCCGTGGAGACATTATAATGTGACGGTCAATTCCACCATTCGTTGATAAAAGAGTAGCCCAAGAGTTGACGGTGGGTGGTGATGACTAGCTGCCTTCCCTCTAGTCTTTCACTACTAAATTAGGAACGGCTAGCGCTGATAGCTTTCACGTAGCTTTGCGCGAAATTCAAACCAAATCATTTCGCTAGCCATTGTTCGCATGTAACATCAAGGCGACGTCGAAAATATCAACCGATAGCGACTAAAGAGCTTTGATTTTCGTTCATGAATTTTTATCTTCGTAATGGCTGAAAATCGCGTGATCGCTTAATGGTGGCCCCCATGAATACTACGTAATGGGTCGATAAACCTGTCTATACATCTTTGAATATATTTCCTTTTTACTTGACGTTAGCCATGATTTACTCGTTTGTTTGGAAAGCGTTAATTATTCCAATGTAGTAATTTGGGTTAATTTCTAAATGTGATGATATTACGAAGCTTCTCATTGATAGAGCTCTTAAAACTTTAACTTATACGTGACTACAGTTGTCATTTGGATATCTATATTACTATGTGGTAGATGTAGCAATAATATCTATCAAACTTATCACATCTTACAGTCTTCACATACGGTATCTAATAGCTCCAGAACTTGGTAGAGAGATGGGTAAAGACATAGCCATACGGTCTTTATCCATCTCTCTACCAAGTTCTGGAGCTATTAGATACCGTATGTGAAGACTGTAAGATGTGATAAGTTTGATAGGTATAGTTATACGGTCTTTATCCATCTGTATACTAAGTTCTGTGGTTATTAGATACCGTATTTAATGATTATTTGATGTGATGAAATTGGATAAATAACCTGTATATGCAGGAAATTAAAATTAAATCACTTGGCAGAAGAAAAAAACAAGTCACTTTTACTCCTGTCAAATTTCTTACTAAAATCAGTTTCTTAATAAAATCTTCATAGGTTACACAGCTCGTAGTTATACAACTCTAATCAAACGTACAAAGTTTAATAGCCCATGAGAAAATTAATAGTTTTATCATTCAGACAATTCATAACAATTAAAACGGAATACGTTTATTACTTGCACGGTACTTGATATTAAAATAATAAGTTACAAGTATTTGAAAAGTATACCATTTACGTTGCTTATATATATTGATGGGTTCTAAATATGAATCCTTCTAGACTTTTACATTATCTGATACAAGTACTAACTGTAACTCCATTAAACATGTTAGAATTAGCACTAAAACTGTTAATTCATAAATAAGGCTTATATGTTACAAAAGTAGCCGAGAAACAAAATACCCTACAAACTGTAGCTTGCATTAGAGCATCAAATCCACCTTCGGGATCGTCCAAATTTGCTGACAGAGAAGCTTTAGAAACAGTCTCCTATACAACAAGGAGAAGGTTATCAGTGGTAATGTATTGCAATAAGACACACTTTACTGTACTACAGTTGGACATTTCTGCTAGCCTAAAATATCGTGTTTAAATCGTGTTATAAGTTTGTGAGCGATCGCTAAGGTATTTCAATAATTATTATTGATGAGCGTGATCCTTTAAGGCATTTTATTTTCAAATATATTACAAAAAGATACATTAGTTACGTTACTATCTCGACTTATAGACATTTCAGTTAAATTGTCTCAACCACTTTGTTCAGGTTTGTCTACAAACAGCTTCAAAACTAATGATTAAATTAATTAAACAAAAAGACATCAAAAACTAAAATTTTGGATGGAACAAACATCAACAGCTAATAATAAAACTATCTCATATAAATTGTAGGTTTGCCATGAACACGCAATAAAACGTTCATTTATATTCATAATTCCGACATTAAATATAATAATTATTTCCTACATTTTCACTGAATAAAACAAGAAATATCTATAATGTGAATGTCTACAGTTCTCTACTTACTGATGTAAATAGCCAATCACTTCCTTAAACATTCACTGATTTAATCATCATGATGCAGCTTACCTTGAACTTAATGATATCTCCAGTCAAGGGCAAATGGTTTTTAAATCCATAAGGCCTAGCGCAGCTCATACCATTCTTATAGCAAGGATCTTGCAAACTGAAGAAATTGGGAACAAAATATATAATTAAAATATTAGCTTACCCGGTCTAACATGAACAAAAATAGTATCAGGTCTCAGGTTTGAGGCAAGTCACGGGAGAAACATATTAGCCTATCAGGTCTAGTGTAAATCATGGGAAAACACATCTAAAATGAAACATACCAATCTGTCAGCTTTAATGTAAGTCACGGGGAAAACGTGCTAGGTCCATACTAGCCTATAAGGTGTAATGTAAATACTTGAAAAACACATCTAAAGTATAGTGTGATATACAGGCAAGTTATATGTTTTCTATCTGCTTTTAATAATAAAGGAATTTTTAAGATTATATCTGTATATTACAGCCAACGAAAGCTATGTAAGAACAACAATCACGCGATGACGTGTCGACTAGACAAAGAAACCGAGTTTAGCTGTTAGAATGACGCTTCGTTTCTTAGTTTATTTTGAACCTTAGGAACTACAAGTTCAGTTTATTTTGGAGTTCAACATGTTTAGATCTACAAAGATCTATGATGAGAGAGAAAGAAAGCTATGAACCTGATCACGATCCAGTGGAAGTGGCTGTCTTATTGTCTATGCAAGAACGCCCTCTGTGTTTTTATTTTTTTTTTAGTTTAGTTCTAATAAAGATTGTTTTTTTTTTTTTCAAACACTAGAAATCTCAGTAAACGTTTCAAATACATATTACTTCACAAATTTCCTGTCGATCCTGCTGTTATTAGAGCATTTAATCTGATATTTGTGCCGAAATAAGTTTTATTTGAAAATACCACAAAAACGTACTAGACCATCAGGTTTAATGTAAGTCGTGGGCAAAATACACCATGTCTGTTTTAGTTTATCAAGTCTAATGTAAATCATGTATACCTTCTAAAGTGGCCTATATTTATTCATAAGTCATAATATTGTATTTTTGTTTGGGTAGGCCATTATTTCGCGTGGAGGAGGGTTGCACTATTGGGAAGAATCAGCTTATGCTCCTAAATGAATAAACTTTCCTCATTGACTCTTTCGATCTCTCTCTCTCTCTCTGTCTCTCTCCACATAAACTTTATAACATTTAGAGTTGGTGAGAATAATACCTCGTAAGGGACAGTTTATTTGTATAGGCTAAGTATAGCTACAAATTCTGAAAAACAACAAAGTTGAACGAGCAAAACAGTGCAGTTCGTTTATTGTTGTTATGCGTAAACAATGATTTTTATTTCAAAGCTTTCATTGATCTTGTTGCGTTTAAACAATGTTTTTCTTTGTTCCAAAGCTTTCTTTAAGCTTTCAGTGTTAAAATGCTTTTTTTAATCTAAAGTTTTTTAACAATGTTTTTCTTTGTTCCAAAGCTTTCTTTAAGCTTGCTGTGTTAAAATGCTTTTTTTTATCTAAAGTTTTTTTAAATCGTGTTATGCTTAAACAATGTTTATTTTTAATAAGGGGATCATGCATGAACTGGTGGTTAGCGTGGCAAGACTGTGAATCATAAGATTCCAAATTCACGTTCCATTGCTGCATTTCGAGGCCATTCGTGCGCTTTAAGAATGACGAACAAGTGCCACTATTCGACAAGAGAAGAGAAACCTAGTAGTTGGTGGTAGATAATGTTGACTAGCTATCTTCCCTCTAATCTACCAGTTCAAAATTAGGAACAGCTATGCGAAGAGAACTCTGTAGCTTTGTTCGAAAATTACAGAACAAACAAACAAATTTTTAATAAATTTTTCTTGTACTGTTAAAATATTTTCAAATAATAAAAAGCGTAAGATTACGTCCTCTGTCTCATTATTATTATTTCTCCCTTCCACTGTTCCCAAACCCAAACTTACTTATTTGTGTGTGTGTGAGACAGCTAATGAACTTGATTTTCAAATGTATATATAAAGGAGATGGACAAACATATAAACATGTTTGGTTTGTTTATTTTGAATTTCGCGTAAAGCTACTCGGAGGTTATTTGCGCTAGCCGTCTCTAGTTTAGCAGTGACAGATTAGAAGGAAGGCAGCTAGCAAGTCAACACCACCCACTGCCAACTCTTGTGCTGCTCTTTTATTAACGAATAGTGGGATTGAATGTTACGTTATAACACCCCCACGGCTGAAAGGGCGAGAATTCTTGTCCACGGGGATTCGAACCCTCAATCTTCAGATTGTGAGCCGTGTGCCCTAACCACTATGCCATACTACGCTCAAAAGTCTGAGAATCAACGTAATGTTTCGAATTCAATTGTTAATCCAAAATTATAAAAAACAATTGAAAATAGTAAATTGTTTTGTGATATTAAAATATTTTTCTAAAAAAACAAAAACAAAATTTGAGATTGAGCAGGAATCGAACCTGCGACTATTCTAAATGCACACGTTTCCAATGCAGCAAATCTCAATTTTCTTCTTTTGGGTTGATTAAGAAGAAAGTCCTCAGTCTTTACTTCGCCAGAAAAAAGTTCACCTGTCTATCCAAATGACTAACCTTCCACTCCACTACAGCTTCTAATCATGAACACACACGTGTTGTTGAAAAACAAAGGCGAGAAATACAGTTCTCATTAATCCTGTGTGCACGTCACAAAATCACAAACACAGGCGCTTGTCTTTGAGCTAATCACTAACTACTGTATAAACAGCTTATTCCCTTTGTTACTCTGTCGAGAACGCTTTCACGCTCCTTATGTTTCTTGGTAATGTTCACCAAATACATCGTCGCTTACCAACAAAACTATCACCTGATTGTTCTTAGGCCAATTATGGTGTTTATGTTGAATGTTCAATATTCATGTTCATTTGTTAGAAAGGTTTGTTTTTCATTCTTTATTTTTTATAACTTCGGTGAAATAACAAAAGAATAGTTTAATTCAGAAGTTTTATGACATTGAGTTGTAGCCAAAAGCAAAATAAAATTTACCAAGTAATGTTTGAGCTAAACCTTACGCATATGTATTAAATTAGACTACAAATAGGCCTACTATTAATAACGTTATAAAGTTAGTGTTTAAAAACGTTTAAGTGGTGAATAAATGTTAGTTAATAAATATTATTTTGGTATTTTAATAAATATATTATCTATTTGGCCTTAAAACACAAGAAAGGTAAATGTTTCTTGCTACCAAATATTCTTTATCTTTTGTAGAGTCGAAAGAGTTGAAAATTTGTGTGGGAATGTCGGCACTATGTTTTCTACTTCCTGACCTAGAATACCTTGAAAAGATTCAAGAGTGCTATTTAAATTTCTTTCTGAGTGCACACGTACGAAAGAGTTGAAAATTTGTGTGGGAATGTCCGCACTATGTTTTCTACTTCCTGACCTAGAATACATTGAAAAGATTCAAGAGTGCTATTTAAATCTCTTTCAGAGTGGACACGTACGAAAGAGTTGAACATTTCTGTGGGAATGTCCGCACTATGTTTTCTACTTCCTGACCTAGAATACATTGAAAAGATTCAAGAGTGCTATTTAAATCTCTTTCAGAGTACACACGTACTTTTGTTCACGATAACATTTCATTTTTCTGCGTAGTTTTTGCTAAAAAATATGGTGATTAAAGAATTACTTCGAGACTGATGAAATAAGTGAAGAGTAGGTGCATTTTGGAGGTACAAACAAATTCGTTTTAGTTAAATTCTACAATTTTTGTTGATCATTCAACAATGGTTTTCCATACTTATTGACGGACTTTTACACTAGTTTTATATAAACCATTTAGTTAGTCATACAACCAAAGTAAGGTCTATCTTAGATTCTTTGAATATGTAAGTGGTTGGCATTGCTAGTTTGTGTTATCCCAAGCTGAACTGCTCTAGCACTATCTTCATTTGTTATCCATGGCAATGACAAGCAATAAAAACTAATTTTTAACGTAGAACTATCTTTATTTGCTATCCATAACGATTGCAAAGAAGAAAATCTAATTTTTAGCATACCACCATCTTTATTTATTAACCATAGCAATTACAAACAACAACTAATATTTAACATGTCACTATCTCTATTTGTTGATTTTAGCAAGCTAAAAAATAACAATATTTTTAGCACAAAACTGCCTTTATTTGTTAATCATAACAATCAAACAATAGCACCTAATGCTTAGCAAGCACATCTATAAAGAGAAACTAAAAGTATTACTTGAACACTGTAATTAAATAAAATTTATACCTTTCTGGAACCATGTCTACAAATGGCATGGCGACTTTATCAACGAAGGAACCAAAGCCGAGCTGAACGTTTTTCGTAATGTTTTTCATGACTTGAGCTGAAATAAAGATGACTAATTGTGTACGGTTCTTGAAAAAGTTCGGCGTGAGGAAATGAAAAAGTAATTAGAAATTGTTTTTATGACAAAGAACTTCAACAATGTATGGTTTGTTTGTCATCAAAACACATATTTTTTAGTAAGATTCATCTTTATAACCACGTAAAAAAGTATTAGTCGCTTAGCATGAACATATCTATTCCCGTTGAGTCTGAAAAACCAATCAATAAAAATGTCTTCGTAATATTTGTTCACGTTCTCATCATCTTGTCATATACATAACTGAGAAATTTTCATATATATATAAGCAACTATCCAGGGAATGTCGAAATATTGACAACTGTTAGATATGGATAGTGGCCAGATCCTTGAACGACAGAACTTATTACTAAAAGAGGTGGTCACTAAGACGAAAACTTGAAACACTTAATACTGTGACATATGGATAATAGCCAGACTCGTGAAAGGTAAAGAATATTACGAAAGTTGGCCAGTAGGAGCACTGGTGATATTGACTATTGTTATATACATATGTATTATGGCCAGACCCCTGACCTTACTAATGAGTAGCTTAGAGTAGCAAGGTTTAGGAAAACTACCAGGAATTAGGATAGTGGAGCATGTAAAAAAAAGGCATTGTTTCTTTTCCATAAGAACATGCAAGGAAGGCATTTTTCGATTGCCGATAGGAACATGCAAAGAAGGCGTTATTATTGCGCCCATAAGAACATGTGAGGAAGGCACTGTTCTAGTGTCAATAGGATCACCAAAGGAAGGTATTGTTCTAGTGTCAATAGGATCACAAAAGGAAGGTATTTTTCTAGTGTCAATAGGATCACACAAGGAAGATATTGTTCTAGTGTCAATAGGATCACCCAAGGAAGGTATTGTTCTAGTGTCAATAGGATCACCAAAGGAAGGTATTGTTCTAGTGTCAATAGGATCACACAAAGGAAGATATTGTTCTAGTGTCAATAGGATCACCCAAGGAAGGTATTGTTCTAGTGTCAATAGGATCACACAAGAAAGGTATTGTTCTAGTATTCATAACAATCATTATCACTCCATAAAGATAAAGTTGGAACCTATAGAGAGGAATATTTCTAATGTATTAACTAGGTTGTCAAGAAATAAATGTCGCGTTTTGGAACACTTTCATTAATCACCCTCACAAAACATAGATCACCTATCATAGTTAAACGAACCGCCTAGACGTCACGTTAGTGTAGCCTATATAATGTGTAAAGTTTAGTATACTCTAATCCCTTATAGTGATGGCACACGACGAGACACACAAGAAGGGAAACAACGTCTCTGTAGTCATAAAGAACATCAAAAGAACAAACAATAATTCATAATTTTTAATGCAGGCTTGCTATTGCCTATCACACGACAATGAAACTGTTAGGTCGTCAAGAAATTAATGTCGCGTTTTGGAACACTTTCATTAACCACCCCCATAAAACGAACATCACGTATAATAGTTAAACCGCCTCTTCTCTCTTAGTTCCTGTCGTTCCTAGTGGAACATAGGGCTACAACAACACTTCGCCGACGGAAGTGTTGTTGCAGTTTCCGTTGCTAGCCCCACGCCCAAGTGGGCATGTTTGGTGCGACAAGGACGCGAACCCGCGACCCTCGGATTGCGAGTCGAGTGACTTATCCACCGGGCCATGTTAGGGTAGCCTATATAATATGTGAGACATACATTCGGCATGTAATGCTGTTTGAATACAAGAAAGGAAACAACGTCTATGTAACCACAAAGAATTTTAAAAAAGTTTATGGAAATGTTTTCAACGTTCGTAAGTGTCAACGATGGTTCAGCAAATTTCGTTCAGGTGACTTTAGCCCTAAAAACTGTGATGGCAAGGACCGACATGTTGGAATTGATATTGATACTCTGAAGACGCTTGTTGAGTCTATCCCAAGGCAACACACTCGCGAAATGGCCCTG